TCGATTCCTGGACGTGAGAATCCTAGGCCCATGGGTGGTTAACCGAAGGGAAGTGGGCGGGGCCGCTCCCACCCCCACCGCACCCCCCCACCCTCACCCCCACCCCCACCCAGGCGCCCCGCCCCGCGACCTGCCCCTGCCCCTGCCCCCGCGGAAGGAAGGCCGTGCCACGCGGGGGCCTTGCGTGGCTTCCTAAGCGGAGCTGGAGCTGCGTCAGGCTCGCTCTCGGGGGGAACAGCTGACTGGTGACTGGTGACGGCGCCTGGACTGCAGGAGGTCAGAGCCGGGAACCCAGACTTCCCCAAAGGTCCCTGTGTAGGATGGGAGAAGATAGAGCCCGCCCTCTCCTGTCTTCTTCCATCCTGCCTTCTATCTTCTTCCATCCATTCCCTTCCTTTATTCAGGGAATCTTTTTGCCCTCCATTATTCAGGGAAGCCCCAGTTTACAGGAACAGGCCAGTTAATGCAGCCTGGTTGGGACTGAGCCCTGGCCAGGAGGGGGGCTCGGTGGGCGCTGAGCCAGCAGCGTGGGCGCTGGATTTGGCATTACCCCGACCTCCGCTCTGGGTCTCACTTCCCTCATCAGTGAAACGGGCATGACTAGACTGTGAGGATGAGGAAACATAGTCATGACATCCCCCTGCAGTATTTCTTGGTGCCAACTGTCATCGATGGGTCAGGCGGGCCTCATCCCCACCCCACATGCACACCAGCGTTCCCCGCGACCCCCCCCCCCCCCCCCCACACACACACACAGGGGGCCCTGGCAGTTCTCCTCCAGGAGCCAGAGTCATTAACACACACTATGGAACACCTACAAGTGGATGTATTTTGAGTGTCTGACATGTGTCAGGCTCTGTGTTCGTATCGGGCCCTGGTCAGCCCTTTTAATCACCAGAACAACCTTCCTCTCTCCTTAGAAATATCCCTTACTTTGCAGATGAGGAAGCTGAGGTTTACAGAGCGGTTAAGAAAGTTCACCATGTGGATTGCAGATTCTTTCTGATACAAATGACAAAAACCTGACTCAAACTGGGTTATGCTAAGCAGGGAGTTTACTGGCTTTGGAAACAGAAATCCAGGCATGACTTGATCGGGAGATTCAAACACGTCATAAAGAGTGAATCTCTCTCTACTCGGTCTTCACCAACTTGGTGTCCTATTTGAACTCTGTGAGGGGTTCATATCATTCCAAGTTCTAGTTCAGTAGGAAAGAGAGTCTCTTCTTGATCATTGGGGCACAAGTTCCGGGATTCACTCTAATTGTACAGTTTGGGGGGAGGGTTTGGGGGGGGTGTCAAATGACTGCTCAGATGACTACCTCGATAAAATCTGCCCAGGAAGATTCAGTGCTGATTGGCAGGTCGGGTCAGAGGCCGCACAGCTGCGGCCTCACCAATGGGTTGATAGGGAAGGAGGGAGAAAGGAGAAGCGGCAGAGATGGGGGATGGGTGCCAGGTGCTAACCCCACCTTGTTACCACAGGGCACACAACGGAGGAGAGATGAGGCCTGGATTGAGCCCTGGTCGCCTCACTCCAGAACCTACGTCCTGAAATTCTCTGCACGTTTACTACGGGTGCAGCCTGGTAAGCACTTAGGGGAAACCTAGGTGTAGAAGGTGAGGCCCTGCTGAGGGAGAGAACCCAGCCCTCCCTCCCTGGCCTCAGGTCCGGCCTCATCACATCTGGTGCCCATCCCCCCTCCTGCCGAGGCGGCTGCTCCAGGAGGGGCCCGGAGCCTCTCTGACCGCCGGGCCGGGCTGTTGCCTGCCACGCTGCAGAAGGCCCTCCACGTTGAGCTGGGGTGTGCTACTATCCCGGGGTCTAGTAGCTTCCGGTTTCTCTAAGCAGAAGAGCGGTTCATTTGACACTACAACTCCGGTCTCCCTTTCCCTGTGGGTGGTCCCTCTCTGGACCAGGCAGGATGTGTGCATTAGGCAACATCTATGGGGGTGTGTGTGCTTTTTAAATATATTTTTATTGACTCAGAGGAAGGAAGAGGGAGAGAGAGATAGAAACATCAATGCTGAGAGAGAATCATTGCCTCCTACGAGCCCCCCACTGGAGATCAAGCCCACAACCTGGGCATGTGTCCTTGATCGGAATCAAACCTGGGACCTGCCAAAACTGGTTTGGCTCAGTGGATAGAGCGTCGGCCTACTGACTGAAGGGTCTCGGGTTCGATTCCGGTCAAGGGCATGTACCTTGGTTGTGGGCACATCACCAGTAGGGGGTGTGCAAGAGGCAGCTGATCGATAATTCTCTCTCATCGATGTTTCTAACTCTCTATCCCTCTCTCTTCCTCTCTGTAAAAAATAAAATATATATTTTTTAAAAAACAACCTGGGACCTTTCAGTTTGAAGGCCGATAATCTATCCACTGAGCCAAGCCAACTAGGGCAATAACTTTGGTTCTGAGGGCCCTAGGGAGCCCTTCTCTACTCCCTTTATACTTTCTTTTAAGATTCCATTATGAGATAGGATTTCACTCATTAACTTGCATTAATATTTAAATGCCCCTGTGAGAGGGAACATAGTAGGTCTTTTCACTCATTCACACTTTAGTGAGAAGTAGTTCACAGAATCCTTTCTGAGGATTATTATGGCCACTGATTTAAAAGCTTTTCATGCATTATCTCATATAATCCTCACAACTCTATCAGGTGGGAACTATAATTCCCACTGTTTTACAAATGAGGAAACTGAGGCTCAGGGTCTGCAAGCAGTGGGATTTGATGGCATGAAGGCTGGTTCCAGAGCCTACACTGCCTATCACTCCACCCAAATAGCCTCTAATACTCTTCGGTTTACAAATGTACTCAATGTATTTACATGCATGTTTTGGACCTCCCTATAATTCAGCAAGGTCGCTGGTATGATCACCCACATTCTTTAGAGGAGAATGTTGAGGAGACTAAGTTTAGTCAACCAGTTTTTGGCTCCAGGATTCAGACTCATTACTCTCACCTGAGGTCAGTGCTCCTAGACCGCACACACATGCAGGGAGAGGAGCCTGAGTCAGCTCTCTCTGGTGTCCTGGGGACAGAGGGAGAGTGGTGGGTGTGGAAGCTAGGAGCTCCCAGAGCAAATCTCCTTCTTCTCCCTTCTTCCTTCCTTCCTCCTCCTCTTTCTCTCCTTCCTCCACTTGTTCATTTGGCCGCCTGAGCACCTACTAAGAATGATGGCTGTGGTAAGCAATGGTCAAAACAAGTGTCCCTTGTCCCCTCCCAGGGCTGATAGTCTAACAAACTAATAACAAACATTCCTTAAGTGTTTATGGTGAGCTGGGCATTGTGCTGAGTGCTGAGCATGTGCCATCCTCATAGCCTCTCTTTCAGGCAGGGCCTGGGCCTTAGGAAGGACTTTGTGCATTAACTCCTTTAATATGACTCCAGGCTGACTCCAGAGCCCAAGCATCTCACCACAAGGCTGGACTGCCTCCTCTTGGGGTGTAGTGGGGAGCTAGTGGATGCTTATGGAGTAAAGACTACCCCCTAGCCAAAGCCAGTTTGGCTCAGTGGTAGAGCATCGGTCTGCGGACTGAAAGGTCCCAGGTTCGATTCCAGTCAAGGGCACATACATTGGTTGCAGGCACATCCCCGGTAGGAGGCATCTGGTCGATGTTTCTCTCTCATCGACGTTTCTAGCTCTCTATCTCTCTCTCTTCCTCTCTGTAAAAAATCAATAAAATATATTAAAAAAAAAAAAAAAAAAAAAAGACTACCTCCTACACACACACACACACACACACACACAGAGTTTTGGCTCACCCAGCGCCAGAGGCAGCCATCACAGTGTCCCTAAGACCCTCCCTGCCACCAGGAGCCAGGCCCCGTCCCAGAAAGGAAGCTGAGTGGGGAAAGGCTCTCTTCCAAGGCAGGACCAGGCTGGCACACCTGAAGACCTCTGGATGGAAACTCCCAGCGAATTGAATCAGAGTGGCCTGTTCTGTCCTCCCAGGTGGTCTTTCAGCAGGATTTCCTTGTGCCTCAGTTACCTCTCCTCTCAGTTCATCTGCGCATGAGCTGCCTCTGAAACATTACCCATCAGACACTTGGTAGAACCTGCTGGGTGCTTCATCCTCCCTGCTTTCTGGCCTTGTCATTTTCCAGGATCTTCATGGAGATTATGTTTCCCTCTTTGCAGATGTGGAAACAAGGCTCAGAAGGCTGACCCACATAATGATGGTGAGAAATGCAATGAGAGCCCACATAGGTCTTGAGTCTACTGTCTCAACACGTATCTACCAGACATTCAGCGACATGTCAGAGTCTGAGCTGTGCCCAGGAGGTGGAAGTGAGCAAGAGGGAGCCCTCCTACCAGTAGAGGTGACAGACAAGACAGGAAATGTTGGAAATGTGGGCAGAATGAGGTGACAAGAGCTAATTTGGCAGGGCAGAGGACAAAGGTCTGCTCTGGGCTATGTCAGCCCTGGCACTTCTGGGGACCCAGCAGAGCAAAGGTTTGGGGCTGGGGAGTTGAAGTTAGGAAGATTGGGGGAAGGCTCATGTGGGGTGCTAACCAGGAGAGGGAGTTGGAGCTGCCTTACCCTCAAAAATACCTGGACCAAACTAACTTGGCCTCTGCCTGCTGCCTCTCAGTCTGTGCTCTGCCTGCCTGGATTTTCCACGCGACAGTTTCGTTGGCTTGGGTGGTTTCCAGCCCCACCTGCTTTCCTGGAGCCCAGTTTATCCATCATTCCTGCCAGTCAATACCAGTGTCACTCTGAGTAACTCTAGGGACCCAGGGTGACCTCACCTGCTCCTGATTCAGTTTGACTCACTCTCCACATTTCTAGAAGGTGTCTCTTGGCCATTTTAATCCCATGTTCAGGCGCCCAGGGCCTTTGGCACATCCCCCTTCAGACCCCTGATGGTTAACCAGGTCTGTGTTATGCAGGAGAAGTGGGTCAGGGGGATGGGGGTGTGTGTGATAATGAACATTCTCCAGTCTACGTTTTTTGTTTGTTGGTTTGTTTGTTTTTCAGTCTACATTTTTTTTTTCAGTCTACATTTTTGTTCTTAACAGAAAAGGATATTGTCTAGGGAGAATAGCTTGTGTTAATTGATTGTTTACTATGACCTGGGCACTCTACACACATTATCAGAGTCTCATAACATTTCCTTATTGGTTTTCATTTTCAAGATGAGGAAACCTAAGCTCAAAGGGGGATTTGACTTGTCTAAGATCTAAAATCACACAGCAAGGAATTGGTGGAGCTGGGATTGGAACCCAGGCCTACTTGACTCCAGAGTTGTTTAACCAGAATCACACACCTGACCCCACCAGCTGCCCACAGGTAGGGAAGGGAAGAGGGAGATCATTCCACCCACCAAGCCTGAGCCTGCTTAGAGCCAGCCTCATGACCCCAGGATCCCTGGTGGTGGTGTTAGAGGGATTAGCAACTGCGAGAGGAGTAGCCCAGGGATCCTAGGGCCACCACCACTTCCTTGGTGCAAGGAAGCCCAGACCTTCCTTGGTGAAACACCCATAGGAGGTGCTCATTGGTGCATGGGTCCAGCCTAGGCTGGCTGGTGGGAGTCATGGCTGTCACCCCACCTCATTTTACTAGTGTGTGGGTCCAGTCCTACCACCTCAGTTTTCCCTTCTTTTCCCTCCCACACCTGGTCCCCACTCTGCTCTGGATCCCCCTGCTGGACCTTCTCACACATCCTTCTCAGCAGATGAACTGTGCAGCCTAGGGCTGTGCTTGTTCAGGACATTGGCCACTGATCACATGTGGCTGTTGAGCACTTGAAATGTAATGAGTGCAGCAGAGGAACTGAATTTTAAATCTTTCTTAACTTTAATCAATTTTCATTTAAGTTTTAGAATTGATAATGCTGTTATTGCAAAACATTTAAATATGTGTGGAACAACTTGGATATGTGAATCATTTTTTCAACTGCAAATTTTATGAAATCAAAATATAGATCTTTCTGTAATGAAAACTTAGCAAGTGCTGTAAAGTATAAAAACTAGACACCAGATTTTGAACACTTAGTAAACTAAAATGTAAAGGTGTCTTAATATTTTATATTATTTCATGTTGAAATGATCATATTTTTAATATATCACTTTAAACAAAATATATTATTAAAATTAATTTCATCTGCTTTTTAAAAAATATTTTTATTGATTTTGAAAAGGAAGGAAAAGGGAGAGAAAGGAACATCAATGATGAGAGAAAATCATTGATTGGCTGCCTCCTGCTCCTTTCACAGTGGGGATCGAGCCTGTAACCCAGGCACGTGCCTTTGATCAGAATCAAACCTGGGACCCTCAGTCCTCAGGCCAGTGCTCTATCCCCTGAGCTACACTGGCGAGGGCCCATCAGCTTTTTTAAGGGAAAGTTTATTTAACAAGTTACAGAGGCAGCTCTAGCTGGTGTTCTCAGCGGTCAAAGCGTCAGCCCACGCACTGACAAGTCATGGGTTTGATTCCTGGTCAAGGGCACATACCCAGGTTGCAGGTTCAATTCCCAGCCCCAATCAGGGCTCCTTCGGGAGGCAACCAATTAGTGTATCTCTTTCACTTCTCTTTCTCTCCCCCGCCCTCCCTCCCTTTTTCTCTCAAAAAAAAAAAAAAAAAAATCAACAGAAAAAAATATCCTCAGGTGAGGATTAACAACAAAAGAAAGAAAATTACAGAGGTGGTAGAAGTGAGCCAGCTGGACTGCCTAGGCTCAGCAAACAAGTTACAGAGGCAAAAGAAAGGCAGCTGGAGCTTTAGAGGGAAAGACGAAGGTAACACACCTGGGGGAAGGAGAGGGGAGCGGGCCTGCTCCGGAGAGGAAGAGCGCACCTCGCCTGATTTTTTTTAAAGGTAGCTACTAGAAAAATCTTCAGCTACAGATGTGGTTCATATTGCATTTCTGTCAGACAGTGGTAGCCTAGAAGTTAAAAGTGTGAGTTCAAATCCTGGTTCTGTGTGTCCTTGAGCAACTAACCAATCCCTGTGGAATTCTGTCTTCTCACCTTTCAGGGATGATAGTAGCATTCCCTCATAGGGGAATAAATGAGATAATGTGTGTAAAGCACTTACCACAGTGCCTGGCATATAATAGTGCTCAGGGAAAAAACATCATTATGGGCTTCCTTTCATCGGAACACTCCAAGTGCAGTTCAATTAAACTCAATATTTATTGAGGGCCTGCTGTGTGCTGGGCTCTGGGGATTGGATGGAGACAGGCCATTCTGCTCCATGGAACTCCTATCCCGGGGAGGGAGGCAGCCACCAAAAGAAACACGGTAAGTGCAGGTGGTAGCAAGTGTTGGGGAGAAAATGAACATGGATAATTGTAGAGAGTGGCTCAAGGCTGCCTTAGCAGGAGTGGCCAGGGAAGGCTCCTCTGTGGAGCAGGGGGCTTTTGAGCTAAACCTGACCAACAGGTGCGGCGGTGAGGGAGGCGTGTTCCCAGCAGAGGGAACAGCTAGTGCAGAGGCCAGAGCGCAAGCCCCTGCCTTGGCTGGATTGCTTCACCAAATTTTCCACTTCTTGCATCCAGCTCTCTCCTGGCCACTACACTCCGCGCTCATGGCAGCCTTTGCAATGCGGGGCCATATTATCTCCCTTCTCGTCTGTTCTGCAGGCTCCTGTCTGCCTTCTCCATGGCCCCTCAGCTCAGGTCTCCTGTTGTAGGAAGTTTCCCCTGATGGTTCCTGAACCTGCTGGGCTCTCTCTCTCGTGACCTTAATCTAGGCTGAATACTTGGTTCTATACCATCCTGTTTCTATCTTTCTCCCTCCTCCCCCCATCTTCCTGGGGCAGGGTGCCTTCCCAACACACTTGCCCCCTTTCCTAGGGCAGGAACCAGAACCAAAACCAGAACCAGGTCTTACACTCACCCCAGCACAGAGCTGAGCTGTTCAATAACTCGTATGGATTGCCAGATCCCTTCTCTGAGAGACATGTCTGCCCAGACAGGATGGAAAATCCCTGGCTGAAGGAAGGGCCGTGGAAATTTCTTCTTAACGTTCCCTTTCCAGACTTGGACTCACCCCAGAAAGCAGTCAAGCATTTGCCCAGTGACCTGCAAGGCAGCTCTGTTCTTCCTCCTCCACCCCCATCCCAGGCTGGAACCCAGGGAGCAGTGATGAGGGGGCGGGGCTGGGGAAAAGCCATAGAGGCAGCAGATGACTGCTCTGCTCTACTCTCCTGATGTCTTTAGTCCCACCCCTTCAGTCTAAAGATGAAGAAACACGGGTCAGTGGCAAAATCATTCTAGACTGAAGGTCTTTCCACTCCCACTCCAACCTCCTTACATTGCTCCATGTACCTGTTTCCTCATTGTAAAATGGGAATAATAAACATAGTGGTACCTACTTCATTGAATTGGTGGTATGTTAAATGAGTTAATGATGTATTTATAGATATCAGCTCTATATCCTCTCAGTCCTGAGCTTGCCCTTCCTTGTAGCCCCATGGCAGAGTGTACTGTTGGCATTCTGCTGATCTCTTTGAGGGGGCGGGGAGGGGCTTGAGTCATCACCAGAGGCAGGCAGGTTCCAATGAGGCCTGTCTTGTCTAGTGATTGTACCCACAGCATGTCTGGCCCATATTAGTCCTGCTGCTTTTTTAAATGTGTGCACATACAATTACAGTGAATAAAATACAAATTCACTTAATGCTGTTACTTAGTCATAGGTTTGTCATATATCAAGTCAATCAATGATTGCTAATGGAGGTTCAGAATGGGTTGGGGGCCACTGGGACAGGCGCCTCAATCCTGAGCCCTTCTGCCCTGGGAGGCCGGGCTCCTCTCCTGTCCTCCAAGATGTGCTGGCTCAGATCAGCTCTGCTGCTCTCCCCAGCCTCGGCCTTCCCCCAGAGGGTTCCTGACAGGGAATCGGAATGCCCTGGAGGAGGTCAGTTCCACGTGAGAGAATGAGGAGAGCTGCCCTCACGTCTCTGGGGCTGAAATTTCATCCTTCCTCCACTTGGAACCTGTCCTCACTCTGTCACCCTCTCTCCTCCAACTTCCTAGACCCAGAGCATGTAGAGTACCACAGATCCATAGCCCTCATCCAGCCCTTCACCACCCCACCCCGTAGGGATGGGTGCAGAGGGACTTGATTGCTTGGCTAATTTGAACATGGATGGGATGTGGAGTGGCATAAAAGTGCTTGGAATTTGTGCATTATTGGTGGGAACGTAAAATGGTGCAGCTGCTGTGGAAAACAGTTTGGTAGTTCCCCAAAAAATTAAAAGTAGGATTATTATATGTTCCAGCAATTTAACTTCTGGGCATATACCCAAAAGAAGTAAAAGCAAGTCTTGAAGAGGTATCTGTACACCCATATTTATAACAGAATTGTTCACAATAACCCAAAGAAGGAAGCAACTCACGTTTTCTATTGATGGATGGATGGATAGGCTAAATGTGGTGTATACATGCAATGGACTATTATTCGGCCTTAAAAAGAAAGGAAATTCTGAGAGTTGCTACAACATGGATGAACCTTGAACACACTGTGCTAAGTCAAGTAAGCCAGGCACAGTAAGGCAGGTACTATATGATTCCACTTCCGTCAGGTACCTAGAGTCGTGAAATCCATGGAGACACAAAGGAAAATGGCGGTTGCCAGGGGCCCAGGGGAGGGGGAATGGGGGATTGTTGTTTAATGAGTACGCAGTTTCAGTTTTACACGATGAAAAATTTTAGAGAAAGGTTATACAACAATGAGAATATATTCAACACTAGTGACTGTTCTCTTAAAATGGTTAGTATGGTAGACTTTATGTTGTATACTTTACCATAATTTTTAAAAAAGTGTTTGGAACTGGCTTACTTGACTTAGCACAATGTGTTCTCTCCAGGCAATGGAAGATTTGGGGTGTCATAGCCCTTCAGTCCCTCCCTTCTTCTACACACGTTCATTAGCTTGGTGTTCTGTTGTTGTTTTAGGAAGTAACGGTCAGTTTTGTTGGGCTCAGACCAGAAGACCATTAAGTCTTGAGGACCTCTGTGTATCTGTCAGTTTTCTTCCCCACCTTCTTTTTGGCCTGTTTCTGCATCTTTGCGAGCTGCCTTACTTCCCATCATGGATCTTGGCCCTCTCCTTCCCCTTCCCCTCCAGAGTACCTCATGAGCCAGGAGGCCCAGGTAGGCCAACCTCCGTGTAAGCGGCCAACCTCAGTGTAGGTTCCAACGCATTGCCTTGGGGGCCGCAGGAACCATTGCTATTTCATGTCATAGGCCAGCGGGATCCCATCACACACCTTGAGGTGATCCAAGGGGTCCGGCCTGCGTGGCCTCACACTGTCTACAAAGATGCAGTGGGGGGTGGGGTTAGGAAGCGGTAAGAACCGACGGAGGGGTTGGTGTTCACCTGCTGGCAGAGGAAGGCCAGGGACTTGGTTTTGTTTCTGTAGAAATTGCCAGAAATGTTGACACCCTCACAGTGCACGTCCACCACCTTCCGGCCCGGCAGCACCTGTTTGGCCACGATGGCCGCCTGGCGGCCCAGGAGATGCCTTGGCCATTCAGTACCAGGACTGGCCCTCTGCCGCCTTCAGCAACTGCCTGGGCTCATTAGTATTTTTTCAATAGGCCGGGCTCTGTTCTGGACATAAAAATGTGAGCTGACATGCTGTTGGCAGAAACAGACAATCCATAATTTTGATCCAAAATACTCATGGCTTTTCTTTCATTTTCCTTTTCTTAGTAAAAAATTTACCATATTTATTTACATGTGGTTTATAAATTACCATACTTAAATTGTGGAGCTGTAATTTATTTTTAAAACTTCTGGAGCTTCCCCAGCCAGCGTGGCTCAGTGATTGAAGGTAGACCTATGGACTAGTAGGTCACGGCTGGATCCCCAGTAGGGGGTGTGCAGGAGGCAGCAGACGAATGATTCTCTCTCATTATTAATGTTTCTATCTCTCTTTCCCACCCCCTTCCTCTCTGAAATCAATAAAAAAATTTTTTTTTCAAGAGAAAAAAAACAAAACAAAAACTGCTGGAGCTCATTTTATATATTTTGTATATTAAAACATTTTAAATTATTTACTCTTTATGGAATTTATTCTAATGACACTGGTTAATAAAATTATACAGGTTTCAGGTGCACAGTTTTACAACACATCATCTGTGCGCTGTAATGTATGATCATCACCCAAGTTAAATCTCCATTCATCACCTTTATCCCTCCTATACCCTCACCCACCTCCTTCCAGCTCCCTTTGCCCTACAGTCACCACACTGGTGTTTGTGTTAATAAGTTTTTCTTCTCTCTTTTTTTATTTTGAATAATGCTGCTATGAACATTCATATAAAGGTTTTATGTGGATATATGTTTTCATGTATCTCAGGTATATACCTAGAAGTGAAATTGCTGGGTCATATGATAATTCTATATTTAACATTATGAGGAATTGTAAAATAGCTGCACCATTTTACAGTTCCGCCAACAGTGTATGAGGGTTCCAGTTTCTCCATATCCTTGTCAATACTTGACATTATCTGTCTCCTTGATTATAGCCGTTCTGGTGGTATGAAATGGTATGTCCTTGAAAGTTGATTTACATTTTTCTAATGACCAATAATGTTAAACATCTTTTCATGAATGGCTTTTAGGTCATTCGTACATCTTCTCTGGAGAAATGCCTATTCAGAATCTTTGCTCATTTTTTAATTGTTATAAGAGTTCTTTATACATTCTAGATGTAAATCACTTACCAATTTAAGATTTGTAGCATATCTTCTCCCAGTCTGTGGGATTTTTTTTTTTTTTTTTTTTACTCTCTTGATTGTGTCCTTTGAAATACAAATGTTTTTAACTTTTATAAAGTCCGACATGTTGATCATCTGTTTTATCACTTGTACTTTTGGTGTCATATCTAAGAAATCATTGCCTAATCCAAGATAATGAATATTTATTCCTACATTTTCTTCTAAGAGTTTTACAGTTTAGCTCTTCCATTTAGGTCTGTGATCCACTTTGAGTTAATTTTTTTATACATATACCTTTTTCAACAATTCATTGAAGCCCTGGCCAGTGTGGCTCAGTTGGTTAGGTGTTTTCCCCGTGCAACAAAGTGTTGCTGGTTGGATTCCAGGTCAGGATACAGGTCAGGGCACATGCCCAGTTTTGGGCTCTACCCCAGTAGTGGGTGGGTGGAAAGCAGCCAGTCAATATATTGCTCTCACATCATTGTTTCTCTCACACTCTCTCTCTTCCTCTCGAAAAATAAGTAAAAAAGTCATATATTGAAGTGTAATTTACATTCATTGATCAATTTTAAGTATACAGTTAAATTTGTTTTATCTTACATATTCTTAGTCATTCTAAATTGTCGGATTTTTTTTCCTGGGAAGTTAGTGTGTATGTCACTACCTAGGGAGGGAGAGATAGAAAGAAAAAGAGAGAATTAGTTTCTTAGGGGTTCCCACTTACTTTGGCTTTCTCTTGCTGCCCCAGGAATCCATCCTATCTAATAAAAGAGTAATATGCAAATTGACCATTCCTCCAACACACAAGATGGCTGCCCCATGTGGTCAAAGATGGCCACCCCCATGTGGACACAAGATGGCCACCACAGGATGGCCAGCAGGGGAGGGCAGTTGGGAGGGACCAGGCCTGCAAGAGAGGGCAGTTGGGGGTTATCAAGCCTGCAGGGGAGGGCAGTTAGGAGTGACCAGGCCAGCAGAGGATGAAAGTTGGGGGCGACCGGGCCTGCAGGGAAGGGCAGTTGGGGGGACCCAGGCCTGCAGGGGAGAGCAGTTGGGGGGTACCAGGCCTGCAGGGGAGTGCAGTTGGGGGGTACCAGGCCTGCAAGGGAGAGCAGTTAGGGGCAATCAGGCTGGCAGGGGATCAGTCAGGCATCAATCAGGCTGGCAAGGGAGTGGTTGGGGAGTGATCAGGCTGGCTGGCAGGTAGAAGCAGTTAGGGACAATCAGGAAGGCAGACAGGCGAGCAGTTGAGAGCCAGCAGTCCTGGATTGTGAGAGGGATGTCTCAGATTGGAAAGGGTGCAAGCTGGGCTGAGGGGACCCCCTCCCCCATGCATGAATTTTGTGCACCGGGCCTCTAGTTTAATTATATATGGGTTGAATGATTGAATGCAGTAATCAAGTGACAGTCCATCTGTGTCTATTTTCAGAGCCACTAGTACTACATGACCACAGTCAGTGTCACAGTTGGAATGGGGATGAAGACTCCTCACTGGGCTCCTGCATGGATATGTCTGGGTTTAATGGGATGTGATCTAATTTGTGATTCTTTCATAAAGTGTCCCCTTTCAGGATAATGACAGAGTCCTGTAATAATCTATTAATTGGGCCTGGTTTCTGTGCCTTGTGTTTCCTCAGTCTTATGTTGGGCTGCAGCACTTGGTCACCTCCACCAGCAAAAGTAGGATGTGGTTGACCCAGACACCCTGAGTTGGGGAACCAGGAGGGCCCGGGGAGCTGAATGGAGGGACCAGGAAGTAGGAAGCCACACCTCCCATCTTAGGCCTGCAGCCCTGCTCACTGAGCCATTTTGGCCTTTGCATTTTCTTCTGAACCATGAGGTAAAATTAAAGGAAACCCCTCACACACACACATACACACACACACACACACACACACACACACACACACATCCTTCGTGCCCTGACCAGGGAGCAAGCAGCCTAGGAGCATTGGGACAACACTCCAACCGACTGAGTTACCTGGCCAGGGCTTACGAAAGGAATCTTTTACAGGGTGCTTAATATATGCCAGGTTTAGACGAAGACAGCTTAGAAGAACAGCTTTCTGAGCACTTCACTCCCAAATGATGTTTTTCACAAGAATGTATTAGGGTCATATGTTGACATGACTGTTGTTAAAATGGTGGCTTTTGAAAAGATGTTAGAGAGAAAGCAGGACCAGAGGTGAAGGAAGTCAAAGGTGGTTCCTATGCAGAGTGCTTGCTCTACAGCCAGCTCAGGCCTCTCTTTTCTTGCCCAGCCACTAGCTTCCTCACTGTTACCCCCATTTTTCAGAGGAAACAGAAAGTGACTTGCTCAAGGTCATCAGCTTAGAAATATCTGAGCCATTATTCAAACCCACTCTTCACTGTCTTTACTGCGTAGCGGGCTTAGCCACAAGGACACCACCTCTCTTCCAGGGTCTCAGCCTTTACTATTCCTCTACACCAGGAAACAGGCGTCATAGAACCACAAAGCATTCTACCCTGCCCTCCTTGTTCCTTAGCCTGAGGGTCTGAGGCTGGTGGGGGAATCTTGTGTTGTCTAAGCCAAGGGAGAGGGGGAAACCCCAGGGAGAGGGTGTCCTACAGAACTGGGCAGATACTAAATAAGTCCCTACAATGAAACCAGAAAACTGCTAAACCGGAATCACGAAGGGCAAGGCAAGGGGAGTCATAAAAGGACCAGAACTTGCTCTGGGCCTTAAAGGAAGGGCAGGCTTTGCAGGCAAGACAGGGCTCACCTCCCTGGTGGAGGGCACTGGAATGAGCAGAGCCTGCGGCCAGAAAAGAGGGCAGACCACACTGACCTGTCCCAGAGG